TGAAATTTCTTGTTTAGACTGAAGCTGTGAGTGAAATTGCTTGTTTAGACTGAAGCTGTGACTGAAATTGCTTGTTTAGACTGAAGCTGTGAGTGAAATTGCTTGTTTAGACTGAAGCTGTGAGTGAAATTGCTTGTTTAGACTGAAGCTGTGACTGAAATTGCTTGTTTAGACTGAAGCTGTGAGTGAAATTGCTTGTTTAGACTGAAGCTGTGACTTAAATTGCGAGCTTAGACTATAATTGTAAGCCAAACCTGAGATTGTGAGCTTGGACTGAAATTGTGAGCTGAGACTCAATTATCATATTAAGAACTGAGTTATTAACCTAATAATACTGGAAAGTCCTGAATATCTTCATTGATGTTATATTCGTAGTAGCAATTCATTTTATATCGGAATTTCTCCAAAATAATTATAATTACATTTAATAAAAATTATTTTCTTTAACTTATCTAAATCTACAAAGAACTTTTTAAAACTTATTTTAATGTTTCTGAAAAAAATTCTTTATTTCATACTGTTATAACAAGAAAATTTAAAAAAGAAATATAATGGAAATAAAGATAAATGCTATTCTTTTTATTTTTTAAACTCATTTCGCCCTGTGGGCCGGTCTCTTTAGCAAGCTCATTATGGATTCATTCAGGCCCACAAATGGAGTGGGCCGGGATGTCCGACATATCCAGACGGACCATCCCCGAATATAACAACGGACGGGTCGAAAAATCCCTAGTTTTTCGATCCCGTTCTGGGAATCCATAAGGGAATTCCTGGGGAATCCAGAGGAACCCGTCCGGATTGGTCTCTGGATTCCCCAGAGCGGCAGGGTACCACTTAATTCGCCCATTAATAAAGTATTTTAAGAAGTTGGGTCAATAAGTCAATGTATCAATGAGTATCAATTACAGTTGGTCGCGGGTTCGAGCCCGACCAATGTACTAGCCGCGTGGACTTTTACGGGTTTATTCACGTGTATAACATCTAAATAAGGGCTAGTTTTCTATAGAAAGTCCTCCCGGGATTTAATTCCTCTTGGCAGATCGCCCACGTGTTGCATTGTTTTATTCCAGTAATCAATTTCGCTATTACTTATGTATATAATGAACTTAATTAATACAGTGAATAATTCAGCTCAATTATTTAAAAGTAGTATTCCTACACAATACCGATATTTAGTATACATAATTTCATTTATTTATAATTTTTTTATTTGAAAAAATTTAACATTTCATACGCCTTTTAGGACCTCAAAATATGAATTTTTCACAACGTTATTCATGATTTGTGGCGATTCTATTTTGAAAGTGCTTTCAGGCAAACTTCCAAATTTTTGTATTATCAATACAAAATCGATATTATTTTCAAGAAAATAATATTCTGCATTTAAAATTTTCTTATATTTTATAAAATAAATGCTTTTAACTGATAAATTTCATAATGAAATCATCCATCACTGAAAGAGCCATAATGACTGATTTTTATCAATTGTTATCCTTGAAAACTTAATTGATTTATTAGAGCGTCTGTTTGTCTGTACGTTAAATCAACTTTTTATTTTAAATAAATAATATGCCCGAAAAACTAGACGTTAATTATAATTGTAAATTGTTTTTTTTTTATGTTTAAGATATTTTTAATTGAAATTAATTAAACATTATGTTTTTAAACGCTGAAGTTAAGCAATTATAAAGAGATAAATGCATAAGTTTCAGATTAAATGAACGTAAAAAGTAAAAAAAAAAAAATGTTTGAATGTGAACCGAACCAATGTCCTGCGTTAATAAAGACGTTGGTTCGGTTCCTTGTTGAGACTCTAAATTTGAATGTTTCTAAGGACTATCGATTTTTTCCCACAGGTCGTTGGTTCGGTTCCCATTTCACAGTTTAAGAAACCAATTATGGTAAATTATTAATGGAATTCGTATCCCTCAGATAGCATTGTATAGTGGATTTTAATTACGATTTCTGGGAAAAAGAGAAATAAAATAGTAAAAATAAGAGTAGAAATAGGAATGGAATAAAGAAAATGTAGCAGAGAAAATGGTAGAAGTGGCAGAAGCAGAAAAATTGGAAATTGATGAAGCTATATTAGAATGAATGGAAATACAGTTTACCCCCTATAACACTGTTGATAATTTCGTTTTATATGAATTCCGTGTTGTACGAGTCACTTAGATTTTACAAATACGTGAGCCGTTTACAGCCCGGCACACGTATTTGTAAAATCTAAGTGACTCGTACAACACGGAATTCATATAAAATGGAATTATCTACAGTGTTATAGGGGGGTCAACTTGTACTAGAAGCAGAAAGAATAGAAATAGAAGGTAAGACAAGAAGTTTAAAGCAAAATAAAAGTAGAAGACGAAACAGAAGGGAAATAGACATAAAAAAACAATGAAGAAGAAATAAAAGTAGAAGACGACATAAAAGTAGAAGCAGTAGTAAAAGTAAAAAGAAAAAAAAGTAATGGAAGATATTTGTAACAATATTTACATATCAGTTATACTAAAAATAAAAAAGACAGTAACAACATTCTAAGAATATTCAATGAGGATAAAAGAAAATAAAAAGAATTTGCATTTGCTTATCATTGAAATCTTTTAAATAATATTGCCACGATTATAATAATAATTAAAGGAATGTTTCATAAATCCTCCTCATTAACATACATATTTGAACATTTCGATCAATATTTATAACTAGAATATTACACAATATTCGCTCTGGTACTTTTTCATTTTACTTTAAATAGGTCATCTAAAATAATTGCTAGCAATTTTTAATATTATTCACAAACACGGGATCATAAAATTTTAATTGAAATTATTCATTAGAATTTAAAACAAAAAAAAAACAGCAGATTTCCCAGCAGAAAAAAAAAGTTAAAATTGAATGTGGCACCATCTGTTATCAGATTGTATTATTATAAAATGATAAAATGCTTAATTTTGGGGGTATCTCTCGATCTTTAATCAATAAAATTAACAGCACCAATGCCCCTAATGCACTTATCAAAATATACTTCTATTAAGAAAAGGAAAAAAGTATGATTTGATTAAAGGAAGATGAATTTATTAAAGAGGAATTTATTAAAGAGAAATTTATTATGCTTATTAAGGATGTGGGTTCGATTCCCAGAGACCAAAAAAATGTAGAGTTTTCCGGATTTTTCATGTTTAACACCTAAATAAGAAATCATTTTCCCATGAGATCACTTATGTGTTGTGTTGACATGCCTAATTAATCTAATCCAACCGGTTCTTTGCCTCTGTGGATCGAACTCACGACTTTGATAAACATAACGAATTTCTCTTTGTTTTTTATCAAGTACAGTCGACCCCCCTATAACACGGTAGATACGTTCCGTTCTTTATGAATCCATTTTGTACGAGTCCTTGCCAATCACAGCCCGGCACGTATGCACTTTACGGACTACAGCTGTTTGAAAGGTTTTTTTCCATAAAATTAATCGATTCCTAGACTAATTCGACTCAACATTTCTAAAATACGTATATTTTTTGGGAATAATCCGTATAAATTATGCTATAAACAAAAAATTGTAGGATTACTTACCGAGTGTGCACCGTTCGACGTCGCCATTGCTTAAGCTTGTTTTCGTCGCGGAGCGGCGCACCAAACGCGGCCGCGATTTCTGATAAGTTAATTTTCTGCGAAAACTTCGTTAAACTTTGGAGACATCATTAATAGAAATAATTTTTATGGTCGTTGAATAAGAAATGTTTCTTTCACAAGAAATGTATAAAATTAGTGCTGTATTAGACTTACGGTACCTAATTTACATACTGTACAGACGATAGTAAACTCAACTTACCTGCCTAAACTCTCCATAGCGTGGAGCTGGACGGCGGAAAGTAGTTCGGCTGCCCGATGACGTTTTACCGAATTATAGGAGTTTTTTTTTACCATGTTTGTACGGATACCGTCGCAATTTTTTCGCCGTCATATAGGAATCCGAACTATAGGAACCCGTGTTATAGGGGGGTCGACTGTAATACTTTTTACTTTTCTTCTTAATAGTGTATTTTAATATTTCCTCTCTAAAAGTCGCGGGTTCGACTCTATCGAATGAAACGCCTAATAATTTCTTAGAATTATTATTCTAATTTTAAATTTTATTATTTAAATAAATAGATTTTGTAATTATATAAAAATTTATTGGCATTGGAAATTTTTTACAATGTTGTTTAAGAAACTTAAAATTAGAAATTTCGGATCAGTGTTTATTATGATACAGAACCGAACCCACGACTTTACATCTTTTAACACAATGTATTAATACGATTAATCATGAAAGGAAAAAGGGAATTCATTGAATTCTTCTTCTTTTAAGTCTATAAAAAGCGTGGGTTCGGACCCCTGCAGTCAAAAAATTCTTCTTTACTGGAAGATTTGATTAAAAGTAATTTTTATTAAAATTTTTTTTTTCTTTTATAAACTAACAACTTATTTATTATATTCTGTTTCTATATAAACTTATAAAACTTTAACCTTTTCCATGAAAACTTTATATTATTTTGAAGATAATTTAATTAATTATCATTTAAGTTTTGTCCCGCAAATAATAGCAATTCAGTATAAGGCATTAGAAAGAGAAATCCATTAACAATTATTTAACGTTTAAAAGAATTAAAAACACGATCTAATTATTAAAGTTGTTAACAAAGTAATTAATAACATTGATATTCAATCATTTATAGTAATTAACCTTGATTATAACTTGACAAATTGTCTACAAATTTGCAACAAAACTACCAAACAATTGCTCAAAGTGTTCGTAACTTTAGGGATTTTAAAATTAGTTTTATTACTTTTAATTATTTGGTTTTATAAACACTAGCTTTTACGATTAATACAGTAAAACTTCTGAACAGCGGACACTGATAAGAACGTAAAAATTGGCCGTTGTTTGGAGGTTAAAAAAGACCCAGAAAACTCCACGTGGCCAGCCCGAAACAGAAGAAAAAAGAAGCCTTTAACTTACAGCTTTACAAAAAAAGAATCCTTACAAAGAAAAAGAAGTATTTAACATACAAGTTAAAGGCTTTTCTTTTTGGTTACACTCTCGTAATTTTATATATTTTGCCATCTCCATCAACAATGCTGTCGTAAGTGTACTAGAATTTTATATATTCCACAATACTTTATAGCATATAGAATTTTCTACAATTTCTCAAGAGCACTCAGACAGAACTTTTTAAAATCTAGAGCTTAATTAATACTAGAATTAACTAAGATAATAATAATATTACAACAATACGTTCTAGAATATGGTACAGTACACACTTTTATACCACTTGTAAATGAATTTAATTACATTTCTGCAATTAAAAACTTAATCATAATTTAAACTATCGTATATTTTGCAATACTTTCTTATTTTTATGCCATGTCATATCAGAATTTTTAGGAACTGACCCAACACATGGGGTCAGTTTACGGGAGATCTCCTTTGTCTTATCCTATCATGCCAAACAAACACTAATTTTACTTCAATATTTTCTTGTAAATTGCTAATTTTATTATCAAATGAGACAGTTTTTATTGTTTTTTTTAATAATCAAATTAATCTCCTTCCAGCTAATATTCAATCTGGCACTGAACTCTGAAACTATCAAACCCGAAACATCCGTCCAAAATGAAGTATATACTTCCAACACCACTCAATTCGTCGACTATGACAGCACCACTCAAGGTAAGTCGTAAAAAGAAAGAAAAAATTCGATTATACGGGACCGGAAAATCGATTACCACCATTAAAATTTACCCAATTTCTTCTTCCAAAGGTTTGCTTAACGATACCCTGGATGACACATCCGGTGCCATAACCGTCCGTAAAGAGGAGATTGTTATAGTTACGATCGTCCTTATCATGTGGATGGCAGTTATATTCTTATTTTTTAGTAAATGGGGTAAGATTCGAATGCTAGAACCTCATCAACCTCAGTACAGGAGCCAGTCTTTTAGCAATGCCGGCCAGAAATCCGCAAGGATGAGTATTATGGAGCAGTTGACGTGGTCTGTAATTGATCGTGATCTACCATCGTTAGGATCATACGATAGGCCAAGACAGAACTCTGTTTTCGTTGGCAATTCGTGCGGGAGACCATTCTCTGATGCCACTAGGGTGCCAAGAAAAGTGAAAAGTGCCGAAGATCTAACAACGTTGGTACTACAGATCGCACGTCGCAATACAAGATCCGCAATACTATCTTTTGGCCAGCCTTCGTTAACCAGACCAGAATTCAACGTAGCTGAAGAATAAAATAAAAAAACAAAACAAAAAATGGAAGGTACTTCAAGAGAATCTAAAATAAATGGCACAATTAGCTGAAAATAACAGATTTCTTCGTCTGCTTGTCGCAAATACCCCCTCCAAATGATAGCATTCCTGTATGATATTTTCAGCTATTTGAGTCCTTGCGATCAAGCTTTACTGTAACGACAGTATTTAGTATGTAAAAAATGTATTATTTTATCAAAAAATAAGTGTTTAGATAGAGAAAAACTGTATAAAAAAAGTACCCTAAAATAGCGTTTGGTGCTATTATGTATGATTTTATTTAAAGGGAGAAAAAAAATCAGCTATAAACTAATGCTCTGCGTGGTTCTTTTTTTCTTTTGGCGATTTTATTGATTTTCGTGTGGAAATTTCCATCTTATTCTCTTGATAATTTTTAAATTTGACACGTAAAAGCTCTTGAAAGATATTAATATGATATCTGCTATTAAATTGAATATTTTTCAATGTAATCTTCCATACAACAGCCATATTTCAAATTCCTTTCAGCGATTGTTTAATATATTGCATTCATCTTAATACAATGGTGCGTTATCCTATGCGCTAAAAGTCCAATCTCCTGAGGCCTCCACCAATAGAGGAACCCAATCCAATCTTTTATAAACATCATTAATGGAATAAGAATGTAGAAACTTAAGTTTGGACCACGCCTGGAACCCCTAGATATTTGCAGCGAAACTCCAAGCATTTTTATTTTATAGAGGAATTTAAAACGAACAAATTGCTACGTAGGCCCACATTTTTAAGTATTATTTTTCTATGAAAAAATCTAGAAAAATGCAAATGTAGATTTTCTAATTCATCTACATTTTGAAATGGTGCAGTTCAAGTATACGTTGCACCACTTCAAAACGCGATGAATCAGAGATTTACGTTGATAACCTTAGTGATACTATGTTAAAAGATAGCAATAAAACAAAATGGCGATTCAGAAATTCGAAATTTAACACGAAATTTGCTAGGGAACCATTAAAAAATCCAACATTTCAAGCGTTGTTGGAGCTTAAGTACTTATGTTGTTTTCTCGTTTCTTGCCGAATACGTGAAGTTTAAAGGGAAAAATTTAGTAAATTTTATAGAAAATACTCGAAAATAAACACAAATTTTACAATAAATCAAACATAACTTCAAAAAAACAACACATTTTTAAGTTGACTTAAGCAGTATTCTCGCTTCTAAGTTTGATGATTTAGTAAACTAAGCCTATATATTCTGTTTACACAGTAAAATTAGACAGAACATTTACAGAAAACATTTTAAAAAATGAATAAAATGATTTCAAAATTCACCAAATAGAGGGATTTTCTGTAATTCCTACGCAAGTATACTTTCTGATTTAAGGATGGAAATCAAATATGTTGGGAGAGATATAAAGATTTTAGATTTAAAAAAAGGCAAGATTTCCTAGCAGCAAAGTAAAAAAAAAATATCACAAGAGACATACAAAAATAGCAACCACTTCAAAAAAACTTCAGTCTGGAAGTGAAACACAGGAACTTTTGTTCAGATTTAGAGAAAAAAATTCTTTAAAATCACTCCAAAAAAGTAATTTTTATTATAATAAACTCAACACTGGAATCATAAAAATTATATAATATCTACATTTTTAAATCATAAAAAAAAACATAAAAATAAGCATTTTAAATACGTTTAATTTCAAAAAAATCTGGTTTCGTAACTTTCCCGGCGTAAAAAGTTAAAATTGAATGTGGCGCCATCTGTTATGAGGTTTTATTATTTATTAAAAAATGGCAGAAAGATTAATTTTCAGTATATAGATACGCTTTACAATGAGATGTAAATGTTAATAATAAGTAAAATCTTTCTTAAATTCGACCCCATTCTAGATACGACACGTGACCTCTTCTATCTCCCCACCCACTCGACCTTTAACCACCAAAATTTAATAGTATCAATGACCCTAACACTCGAACCTTCGTGCAAAATTTCAGAAATTTTTGACAAAGGGCACGTGAGTTATTAAGATTCGAAGTGGATGAACAAAATCGTGCTTCCACATACACATTTTAACATACATACAGGAAATATCCACACATCTTTGAATTTATGGACGTTTAAAATCCAAAAGCGTGAAAATTTTTGAACAATCGCCATACTTTTCTCTAAATACATAAAGTAAAACATCTTCCCCTCTTTATACATAAAGTAAAACACCTTCCCCTCTTTATACATAAAGTAAAACACCTTTCCCTCTTATACATAAAGTAAAACACTTCTCTTCTTTATACATAAAGTAAAACACCTTCTCTTCTATATACATAAAGTAAAACACCTTCTCTTCTATATACATAAAGTAAAACACCTTCTCTTCTTTACACATAAAGTAAAACACCTTCTCTTCTTTATA